AACTCAGACAAAACTCAAGGAACATTATTATTTGATGTGAAATAATCTCTCCTGTCTTATATTTGACGAGGTTCAAGCACTTCTGACACCATATGATCTTAATCAGAGTTATGACTGTACTGCGCAACAGAGCACAGGCAAATAGCTCAGCTTCAAAATGTTAGTGAGCAATTTAGTGATGCCTGAGCCCTGCCCGTACCCTAGTTATTGATGAAAAAACAGGCCCTAACCCGATGTATAATGTCGAGGCCCGCCGGGCTCGGTTCGGGTAGTACTCCTGAGTGGCGCAGTGGTCTAAGGCACTGCATCGCAGTGCTAACTGTGCCACTAGAGATCCTGGTTCGAATCCAGGCTCTGTCGCAGTCGGCCGCGACCGGGAGACTCATGGGCGGCGCACAATTGGCCCAGCGTCGCCCAGGGTAGGGGAGGGAATGGCCGGCAGGGATGTAGCTCAGTTGATAGAGAAGGGCGTTTGCAACGCCAGGGTTGTGAGTTCGATTCCCACGGGGGGCGAGTATAAAAAAAAAAAAAAATGTATTCACTAACTGTAAGTCGCTCTGGATAAGAGCGTCTGCTAAATGACTAAAATGTAAAATGTAAAAATGGGTAGCAGAGCTCTAATGCAGTGCCAAGGAGCGGGAGGGGAAGGTTGAGCCGGCTGGGAGGAAAGGGGCCAGTAAGAGTCAAAGGATGCGGAAAGGTAGGAGAGTAGGGTCGAAGAGGCAGAGACAGGAGGGAGAAGGATTTAGCAGAAGGAAGAGAGGGGAGGATAGAAGAGGAGAGAGTAGGGGAAGAAAAAGAGCGAAGATTGCGCAGCGCATGACCATCTTGGTAGGGGCTGAGTGGGTAGGGTTGGAGGAGAGAAAAGGAAACAAAGTAGTGATCAGAGACATGGAGGTGGGTTGCAGTGAGATTAGTGAGAACAGCAGGCGAACAGCCTCTAGTGAAGATGAGGTCAATTGCCTTGTGAGTGGGAGGTGTATGGGAAAGGGTTAGGTCAAAAGAGGTAATGAGTGGAAAGAAAGAAAGAAAGAAAGAAAGAAAGAAAGAAAGAAAGAAAGAAAGAAAGAAAGAAAGAAAGAAAGAAAGAAAGAAAGAAAGAAATGAAGTCAGGTTAAAGTCGCCCAGTATGATGAGTGGTGAACCAATGTCGGTAAATGAGCTTATCAAGGTGTCAAGCTCATTGAGGAACTCTTCAAGGGCACTTGGTGGGTGATAGATGACAACAATGTTAAGCTTGAGTGGACAAGTGACAGTGACTGCATGGAATTAAAATGAGGAGGAAGACAGATGAGAGAGGGGGAAAATAGAAAATCTCCACTTAGGAGAAATGAGAAGCCCTGTGACACCACCGCGATAACCAGATGCTCTCGGACTATGAGAGAACACATAGTCATATGATAAGAGAGCAGCTGGAGTAGCAGTGTTCTCTGGGGTCCTCCATGTCTCTGTCAGGGCCAAAAAGTGTAGGGACTGAAAGTCAATATAGGCTGAGAAGAACTCAGCCTTATTGAGCGCAGATCGGCAGTTCCAAACGCTGCCGGAGACATGGGTTGTGCACGCAGGTACAGTAAATTAGAAGAGTTGCAGCCACGGGGTGGGCAGCTTCTGTAAAATGTACAGGGAGCGGAGCGAACTGGGATAGAAAACACACACATACTTGCCAAAGCTACAAAATAGCAAATTGAGATAATCAGAAAATACCCAAGTGAGAGAGTGGTGTGGAGCCTTCCTCTCTTTCCTTCCTTGAATAACTCTGCAGAACAACACGGCAGAAGTCCGGTATGCCTTCTTTCTACAACACCGCCACTTGACAATACTGCTGATTACAGCTGCTGCTCTCCTCTCTGGTTTATGGCATGGTATTCTCAACAACTCCACTCCTTCTGAGTGCTTTTCTAAAATCTACTTGTCTTCTGGTTTTAGTGTATGTATTAATTTTTTATTAATGTGTTTATTGTGTTTATTTATGTTCATGTTTATTGTAATGAAGCATATTTGTCACATTATTCAGTGAATTTAATCTCTGTGTGTCACGGCCGTCTTGAAAGGAAGCGGACCAAAGCGCAGTGTTTGTGGCGAACATGACTTTAATAGATGACGCACAAAATACAAAACAAAAGACGACTCATGAAGTCCACGGTTAACTAACCGAAACGGAACAAAAACCCACAACCCTCAAGAGAACACAAATAGTTTAAATATGGCTCCCAATCAGAGATAACGAGCCGACAGCTGACACTCGTTACCTCCGATTGGGAGTCACACGACACCACAATTAACTCACCCAAAACACCACCAACCGAATACACCCTATACAACAAACCCCACAACAAAACCCAACAAAACAAATACACCCTGGCTCAAATACAAAAGTCCCGGAGCCAGAGTGTCACAGTACCCCCCCCCTAAAGGTGCGCACTCCGGGCGCACCAGCATACAGTCTAGGGGAGGGTCTGGGTGGGCGTCTGTCCACGGTGGCGGTTCTGGCCCTGGTCGTGGTCCCCACCCCACCTTAGTCACCACCCGCTTCCCTAGCCTCCTCCACATGACCACCCTCCAACTTACCCCACCTGGATTTAGGGGCAGCACCGGGCTAAGGGACAGCACCTGGCTAAGGGGCAGCACCGGACTAAGAGGCAGCACCAGGATAAGGGGCAGCACCGGGCTAAGGGACAGCATCGGGCTAAGGGACAGCCCCGGACTCAATGGCGGATCCTGGCTGGCTGGCTCTGGCGGATCCTGGCTGGACGGCTCTGGCGGATCCTGGCTGGCTGACGGATCTGGCTGCTCATGGCTGGCTGACGGATCTGGCTGCTCATGGCTGGCTGACGGATCTGGCTGCTCATGGCTGGCTGACGGATCTGGCTGCTCATGGCTGGCGGAAGGCTCTGGCTGATCCTGTCTGGCGGAAGGCTCTGGCTGATCCTGTCTGGCGGAAGGCTCTGGCTGATCCTGTCTGGCGGAAGGCTCTAGCGGCTCCGGTCTGGCGGACGGCTCTGAAGGCTCATGGCAGACGGGCGGCTTAGCAGGCTCAGTACAGATGGCCAGTTCAAGCGCCTTAGGGCAGACGGGCGGTTCAGACCCCGTTGGGCAGACGGCAGACTCTGGCCGTCTGAGGCGCACCGTAGGCCTGGCGCGTGGTGCCGGAACTGGAGGTACCGGGCTGAGGACACGCATCTCAGGGCTAGTGCGGGGAGAAGCAACAGGGCATGCTGGACCCTGGGGACGCACATAAGGCCTAGTGCGGAGAGCAGGAACAGGGCATGCTGGACCCTGGGGACGCACATAAGGCCTAGTGCGGAGAGAAGCAACAGGGCATGCTGGACCCTGGGGACGCACATAAGGGCTAGTGCGGAGAGCAGCAACAGGACGCACAGGACTCGGGGAACACACAGGAGGCTTGGTGCGTGGTGTAGGCACTGGTGGTACTGGGCTGGAGCGGGGAGGTGGCGCCGGAAATACCGGACCGTGCAGGCTTACTGGCCCCCTTGAGCACTGAGCCTGCCCAACCTTACCCGGGTTGATGCTCCCCCTCGCCCGACCAGTACGGGGAGGTGGAATAACCCGCACCGGCCTATGTGGGCGAACCGGGAACACCATGCGTAAGGCTGGTGCCATGTACGCCGGCCCGAGAAGACGCACTGGTAGCCGGATGCGTTGGGCCGGCTTCATGACATCTGGCTCAATGCTCACTCTAACCCGGCCGATACGTGGAGCTGGAATGTACCGAACCGGGCTATGCCTGCGTACAGGAGACACCATGCGCTCTACTGCGTAACACGGTGTCTGCCCGTACTCTCGCTCTCCACGGTCAGTCCAGGGAGTAGGAGCAGGTCTCCTACCTGACTTCGCCACACTCCCTTTTAGCCCCCCCCCAAGAAATTTTTGGGTAGTACCCACGGGCTTCCAGCCTCGACTCCGTGCTGCCTCCTCATACCACCTCCTCTCGGCTTTAGCTGCCTCCAGCTCTTCACGAGGGCGGCGATATTCTCCCGGTTGTGCCCAAGGACCCTTTCCATCCAGTATCTCCTCCCATGTCCATGAATCCTTGATAGGCGTCCATAAATCCTGTTGCCGCTTGACACACTGCTTGGTCCTTTTATGGTGGGTTTTTCTGTCACGGCCGTCTTGAAAGGAAGCGGACCAAAGCGCAGCGTTTGTGGCGAACATGACTTTAATAGATGACGCACAAAATACAAAACAAAAGACGACTCATGAAGTCCACGGTTAACTAACCGAAACGGAACAAAAACCCACAACCCTCAAGAGAACACAAATAGTTTAAATATGGCTCCCAATCAGAGATAACGAGCCGACAGCTGACACTCGTTACCTCCGATTGGGAGTCACACGACACCACAATTAACTCACCCAAAACACCACCAACCGAATACACCCTATACAACAAACCCCACAACAAAACCCAACAAAACAAATACACCCTGGCTCAAATACAAAAGTCCCGGAGCCAGAGTGTCACACTGTGCTCCTCTTCCCATTTAATTTTTCTTCTCATCCTTTCCTTTGCTGACGTTTACTGATACCGGCCATATTCAACGGGTGTTGAGCATTCGTAAATTCATCAGTTATTCTGCTGTCTGGCACACTCAGACGAGAGTGCTCTGAAATCGGAGTAGATGGCCACACTGAATTTACGAACGCACCCGAAATGGTTACTTGCATTGTGGAGTCTTTTGTTAAGACATGTGGCAAATGGCTCTGAGATACGAATAGTAAGGTCATACATGTAACGTTAGCTAGCGAGCCAGGCAGTTAACGTTAGCTAGCTAGCTAGGTAAATAATTAACCATAATCACAATCTGCAGGTAGCTAAACAACCAGGTTCAATGTTAGCTAGCTAACATTAGGCTATAGCTAGCCAAGCAAATGTCTCTTTCTGTCAGAATTAGAAACGTGTAATATCTGAAAATGTAGCTAGCTAGACTATTTTACCCGTATACATCATTCATGGATGGACACGTCTCCTGTTGGATGCCATGGTTGCCCTTAGTATGAAGATGTAATCCAGAGACAGGTGTTTTCTCCATCTCCTTAGCAAGCATACTTGAATTCCACTTATTTCAAAACTACACACTATAAAAAATAAATAAAAGTGGCGTTAGACAGGATAACCTAGACATACTGACCAGCTCAAATAGACAGAAGCGTGCTATATGGCAGACCAATCCAAACTCATCTCTCGGCATGTCCAGCCCACTCATTATCTCAGCCAATAGTGGCTAGCGGGAAGGTTGCTGTCTTTTTCTTTGGCTAAACCAACTAGGCTCGTAATTTAACTATTGTATTCGTATTTACAGATGGCATACAAGTTTGTTATTAAGGCACATGAAAGTTCACATGTTCGAGAAGGCATTTCTGCCAAAAAACGCATTTTGATGAAAAAAAAGAAGTTTTCGTTCAAATGGCTCTCACAAACGACCCGCGACATAAGCCTAGTTTCCTGAAACGGGTCACAAATATTAGAGCCAGCTCAGTTTGATTTGGGTTTGCTCTATAGTGTGAATCAGGCATTTGTATTGCAGATGCTCTCTCTATGGCCCAATCATGTCTTCTCTAACCCTGTTTGTTTCTGCCCTGGTTGGCATTGTATGATCTCACTCTGCTCACCTTAGTTTGGCCTGGTTTGGCCTCTCCATACACAGTGTCAGATTGTTGCAGAGGGCAGAGAGATAGAAAACTGAAAGAGAGAGAGAAACTGATGATTCCCCCAGCCCATCGCTCTTGTCAGAGTAGAAGGACTGAGGAGTGGAGGAGAGAGGGAGGAGGGGAACTGTTAATGTGCACTGTATAATTCATAACGGTAATACTGGCATCACTTAGTGCTAAATAGCATCATTTGTCAGGGAAAAGGGCTGGGTGCCACACTGTTACAGATTACCACCAGCAGGCTGCCTTCAACGCACCACACACTTGCAAACGCATACACATGTGTGCACGTCACACACAAGAATGCGCAAACACATGCGCATGCATGCAGAAAGTGTGCGTGCACACACACACACACGTACACACAACCAGCGGTAACACTTTACTTGACACCCAGCGTCATAACTGCTGACATAACTTGTCATAACCCTTCATAATATGGTCATAACATTGTCATGACACATATTGCGTTATTTTATGGCTGGTTATGAAACCTACATAAGAGTGTCAAAACCTACAAAGCCTACCATGGTGGTTATTTTATGGCTGGTTATGACACCTACATAAGCGTGTCAAAACCCACAAAACCTACCACACATGGCAAACCATTCCATTACACCATAGCCTACTTGTCAACAGTATGTTTATGTTATATAACATTTTCTGAAATGGACCATATTAAATTATCATTGTAATTGCACACACATTGATGTCAGACATGCACCTACCCCAGTGCTCTGTTTCTGATGACTGAGATGAATGCAGGAGCAGATTTCAGGAGCGGGACAAGACACCCTCTTTTTGACTGATGACTGATATCAGGGCATGTACTTGATAGGCCTATCTGGCTTATATGATTATGATGATCATAATCCTTCTTGACAGTGTCATAAAGTGTATTTTCTTAGTCCAAGTAAACTGACACAGTATGGTCATAATGCTTTATGACGGTGTCATAAAGTTTATTTTCTACAAGTTTTAAAAAATATGATGGGGAAAAAAACATGACTGTAAAGAATTCATTACAACAACAACAAAGAACTTAAGAAGCACACTTTTAAACGAAAGGAAACTTCTTGGCAGGGAAAAAACACATTTGAATAAATGTGGGTTTTGACACTCTTATGTAGGTGTCAAAACCAGCCATAAAATGACACAATATATGTCACAACAGGAGTGAATATATGGGTCATGACAGTGTTATGACCTTCTAATGACAGGACACTGGGTGTCAAGTGTTATGACACTGGGTGTCAAGTAAAGTGTTACGCAACCAGCAAACACACACACCACTCAAGAGTTATACATGCACATACATTCTCAAATCAATGCATACATCCTTTAGCCTACACAAGCACACATGAGACATCCCACTCATACACCCTGTCACTTCTACTCGCAGCAAAGAACCCTCTACACTTAATGTTCTACACTCAATCACACTCTCTTTCCCTAATCTTCCACATTACTGTGGCTCGTAGAGACAGGATCCTGGTATGAAAGTACCATTTGTTACACTCATAACTGCATCCAAAATGGCACCCTCTTCTCTATATAGTGCACTACTTTTGACCAGAGCCCTGGTCAAAAGTATTGCGCTATATAGTGAATAGGGTGTCATTTGGGACTCAACCATGTCTTTACACATGCAGTGGACATTTCATTTTCAATGGAGGAGAGCGAGTGAGATGGAGGGAGAGAGAGCGCGGAATAGGGTGACTTACACAGTTATTATTGATGAGCGTGAGCTAAAATGCTTAATTTGCACCGTCTTCAACCAAATTCATATTGAAAGCAGCAGAATGTGCATGAAACTCATTAGACACAATGAGAAGGGTTCATAAATTGTAATATTAATTAGTCATTTTTGCCTCCCTTTCATGGTGAAAATGGGTTGTATTAATAAAAAGAGAGGGGTGTGTGATTGTGCCGGGGCCTGGAAGTGACAGCCTTGATTTAGTTTGGCTTTACCTCTACAGTACTGTCTCTAATGGAGAGAGAGAGAGAGGGAGGGAGGAAGGGGATGGAGAGGATACTACATGTTAGTGTGCCTGTGCTTGTGTGTGTGTGCCTACATTACATACAAACTATGAAATAACACATATGGAATCATGTATTAAACAAAAAAGGACACACTTGTTTGTTTACTACATGATTCCATATGTGTTATTTCAAAACCCTCGAATGAGTAGGTGTGTCCAAACTTTACTGGTAATGTGTGTGTGTGTGTGTGTGTGTGTGTGTGTGTGTGTGTTTGCCTGCCTGTGTGTGAATGTGTGTTATTGTGTGTGTGTGTGTGTGGGTGTGTGTGTGTGTGTGTGTGTGTGTGTGTGTGTGTGTGTGTGTGTGTGTGTGTGTGTGTGTGTGTGTGTGTGTGTGTATGCCATGCTGGTGAATACACTACTCAGCAACACTTTAACCTCTAAATGGCCTTTCATGTTCTCCGTGTGGGTGACTTAATGGCCCCCTCAGTAGCTCCCTATCTCCCCTTCAGTTTAACTATACCATAATGAGCCTCTAACCCCCATCCGCCATTTTCATGAACAATTATGGCATAAGAAGGAATAATACAGCTTGCTGCCTTTTTTTGTTTCTTGATATAGTAACGTTGCATCCGAAATGGAACCCTTTTCCCTATTTAGTGCAGCCGGCGAAAAAAGTAGTGCACTAAATGGAGAATAGAGAGCCAAATGGGGAATAGGGTGCCATTTTGACCAAAGCAATGCACTAAATAGAGAATAGGGTGCCATTTTGGACACAACCAATGTATCCTGTGATTGACCTATTACCCCTGTCTTCTCCTATGCATGTCAGGCACGTCAGTGACCCAACTGCAGGCTGTGGACCCAGACCAGGAGCCCCTCATTTTCGGGGTGGTGGGAGAGGAGGCCATGAGGTACTTTGCGGTGGAGAGAGACACAGGAGTAGTTTGGCTACGACAGCCCCTGGACCGCGAGGTTAGAAGACACACACACAGGCACACACACACTGCCTCACACACACACACACACACACACACACACACACACACACACACACACACAAATACACACACACAACCACATACTCGTGCATGCATGCACACACTCACCCACACACACAAACACACACACCCTGTCTCCCTTCCCTCCCCACACTCCCTCCCTCCTTCCCATAAGAAGGGTTTGCTGACATCTCTCTCCATCTCTTCCAGACCAAGTCGGAGATGCAGGTGGAGTTCTCTGTGAGTGACAGCCAAGGGGTAAGAGTCAAACATGCAGTCCGATCAACGATGTTACACATCCTGGATGTCAAGCAGCTCACACACTGTAGATACAACTCTTTCTGACCAACTGTTATTCACTCTGACACCTGTCTCACACGTAGCATACAAATGCTAAAACACACTGACATTTCAACCTACACAACCCTATGGGTAATGGTTAAGACATTAAATTCATACACTCCTTCTATCCATAGAGTGTGTGTAATGTTTTGTGGGGGAGTTGATTGATTGTGTGTGTGTGTGTGTGTGTGTGTATGTTACTCACTCTCACCCCTGTCTAACATGTACTGTTCTGATGCACTAAAACACACTGACATTTCAACCTACACATTCCTATGGGTTAAGACACCACCCTCATTCAGTACATATAGTAAGTTTACTGTGTCTGTGTTTCTCTCTGTCTGTGTGTTTGTGTATTAAACATTAGGACCTCTTGTGCTTTCGCAGGTGGTCAAAGACACAGTGAATATTCAGATAGGAGATGTGAATGACAACTCCCCTACTTTCCATGGCCAGCCGTACACAGTACACATTGCGGAGGTAGGCTACAGTCATGTATATGGAATGTGTAATAGCTACTGTATATAACTGTCCTCCCTAACTTGTCCCACTGTCCTTGTGGGGAACAGTATCATTGTCCTCTGGAGTCGCTCCGGGATGAAGTCTCCCCTTGGTACAGATCTAGGATCTGTTTCCCTCTTACAATCCTAACCTTAACCATTACTGGGGGAAATGCACAACTGACCCAAGAAGTATTGCGTTGTATGTGACAATCTTTTACTGATATGTGAGAAAAAGCATATAATTTCTCTTGCTCGATATAATACACAGACAGTGAGAATCTTTGAGTCAATGTCTCTCCATATTTGGTTGACTTATCAGACATGCAACTTTACAGCAACAAGTTGGCCCTGCAAATGGCTACATATCTGTAGACCTGCATGATAACCAACCGCTGGTTTGGGAATCCTCTTCTTTTTCAGATTTGGAGAAAGTCAACTTGCCATCCAAATATAAAAACTCTCCCTCTGCAGTGCAGTCCTCAATCTCTCCCACTACAGCTTTTCTTTCTCTCTCGCAGTCTACTACCTCCACTAACTCTCTCCCTCCTATTTCAGTCTCCCTCTCCCTCCTCTTGTTCCCTCCCTCCCTCCCTCTCCCTCTTTTAGTCTCTTTAGTCTCTATTTATCTCCCTCTTACAGTCTCTCTCTCTCTCTGGTCCGAAGGAGGAGAGGAAGGGGGGCAGTCTCCCCCCCCCCTTCTGTTTCTCTCTCCCCCTTTCTCTCCCTTCTCGTTGCCCTCTCCCCCATCTAATCCTTGATATGAAGTAATTGCCAGAGTGGAGTAGAATGTTGGAGTCTGGAACTTCAAACAGAGGCTGAAATCTATCTCAGACACGCACACACATATATCGTGTTGTGTTTATATTGAGTGCATAGCTTACCCCCAGTCTTCTCCAAATCTTCAAAGCCACTGGGATTTTTCTCCTCTTCAATCTATAAAGTCAAGCAAATAAATGTAGAGAAAGAGGGGGCTGTTCAGCCCTCCTATGATTGGAGTGAAGGGTTCTCTCAGGTTTCTCTCCATTTTTTTTCAGGTTTCTCTCAGGGTTCGCTTAGGGTTCTCTTAAGGTTTTATCAGGGTTCTATCAGGGTTTTCTCTGGGTTCTCTCTGGGTTCTATCATGAACTTCATCAAATAATTTAAACATTATCTCAGGCCATGTTTGTGTATGATACATGTATGATATAGGCACACAGTGTACTCCTGGCACCAGCTATAGCTCACAGAATACTCAGTGCTAAGCCATGGGGGAGCCGAGGAGGAGATGATGGAGTGAGGGTGTTGTGACTCAGTTCGTTCCCTGTTCTATCTTGTTTCCTCCATCCCCTCCCTCCCTCCCTCTCATCCTCTCCAACAACTTTCTGTCCTCCACATTTTTATGGCCTCATTACCTCTGTGACTTCCGGTGACCTCTGTCGGGCAAAGCAAACACGCTGCGACATCACTCCATCAACCTGTCACTCACCGTACATGCCACAGTAGCCAGCCAATCACAGATTATGGCTTCCATCAGCAACTCTGAGACGATAAACTAGTTCCTAAAGTTGACTGCAGAGAAAAACAGACAGGCAGAGAGGGAGGGGGATGGACAGAGACGGAACTAGTTTGACGGAGAGGAAAAGTAACTTGGAAAGGAGTGGAAAGAGATGGGAGTGGGAAAGAGAGAGATGTAGTATGTAGAGAGATAGAAATACAGAGACAGTAAAAAAGTAACAATTGAAGGAATGGGAAAGAGCTGGAAGAGAGGGAGTGGGAAAGTGAGATTAAACAGGAATGCAGAAAAACAGCTAAACGACACGACAATATGAAAAATAAGAAAAACAGGTGATGATGTAAAAGAGGTGTTGAAAGAGAAAGCAAAACGTGGATGAAGATATTGAAAGGAACTACAGCCCAGTTAGTAGAGTGAGCAGATTAAGCTGTTACACTTGCTCAATGTGAGCTGTCGATGGGGAGGTGTAGTGTAGTAAAGACGAGAGGAGTGTGTGTGTAATTGAGAAGGTATGGAGGAGAGGAGTGTGTGTCTAATTGTGGGTTTAATATGTGGTGCTATAAAGAGGGTGAAGGGGAGCAGGTGGGCTGCTAGCATTCCCTGTGTCAGCGCTAATGAGCTGGGCAGATTTACAGCAACCAGCCATGGCACAGAGTGTGGAGACTGAGATAACTGTACGTCGCTCTGGATAAGAGCGTCTGCTAAATGACTAAAATGTCAAATGTAAATGAGATAATGGCTGTGCCTCAAATGGTACCATATTCCCTATTTAACTTTTGATTAAGGCCCATAGGATCCTCCCATAGGGCTCTGGTCAAAAGTAGTGCACTATATAGGGCATAGGGTGCCATTTGGGACACACTCAGAGACTATCACCCAAACACAATGTTTGACTAAAACAACAGATGGGCCTCAGCCAAATTCCCAGTTTAATGGAATGGTGGTAATAGTGCAGGGGTGCTGCATACTGAGTAAGGGAGGGTGTTTTTTTTATTTTTCACATTTTAGAGTAAGGTGTATCCCTATTAGCTTACTATTTGGTATGAGCTCAAGAAAGGTGATAACACTGTCTTTCAGCCCTATGATTATTGATCTAAATCCAGCATAACACACCTTAAAGTACAATGTACATTGAAATGTAGTCTGTCTGTGTGTATGTGTCGGTCTGTCTGTCTGTCTGTCTGTGTGCGTGCATGCTTTATTGCGTGCGTTCGTGCATGTGTGTGTCTGTGTGTATAACTAGTTGAACAGTTTTTAATAACACCAGTCGCCCCAGGGAGTCCCAACTCCCCCCCCCCCCCCCCCCAGCCTTTCCTCCCATGCTTCCTGACCCCTAAACCCTCTCCCACTGCGAGCTAGTCTCTGTGTCATTGACACACCGCCACCATCAAATGCCACCACTAATGACTTTTCTGAGACTCGCCCAGTGTTTTCTGTGTCCCGCTGCTTACCCCAGACCCACCCCGATCACACAAACACACTCTTTCTCCTGCACTGTGTCTGTCTTTTCTTTTTTCTTTCTCCAACATTCCCCCTTTCTTTCTTTGAATTCCACTCTCTCCCATTCATTACTTATACTGTGTAGACAGACAGACAGACAGACAGAAAAACGTACGGATGGAGTAATGAACGTACAGAGAGATGAACGTATGGACAGACAGACAGGCACTGTCAGACTGGGTTGATGTGTATGCGGCGGTGAAGTCAGGCGCAGGACACAGAGGATCAGGATGACTACTTTAATTCCAGTAAACACGCACCAAAACAAAAGTCTCCACAACACTGGAGGAGTAACACGCGCTGTGCGTAATAGGCGAACTAGAAATGCCGAACATCAGACAGGACAAAATGACAATAACACACAAAAGGCCAAACGTAAAACAAGGGAACTTATATGTTACATAATCAACACAAAATAAGTAACAGGTGTACAAACACAAGACAAACACCGAAACATCGATCGGCAGTAGCTAGTACTCCGGGGACGACGAACGCCGAAGCCTGCCCGAGCAAGGAGGAGGAGCAGCCTCGGCGGAATCCGTGACAGGCACGTTACCTTTTATGTACTGTAACTCCCTCTGCTTATTTTACCGACGCCATAACTCATCCATTCATCAATTATTTATTTATCGCTCCGTAGACACACGGTGTTGTAGAATATTGAACACAGATAAGGCAACAATGATGCAGAGGGAGATAGTACAGTCATGCCCAGTCTGGCCCTGAAATGCACTATACAGATGGATTAAATATATTGGCAAACAGGCAGACAGACAAGCAGGCATCTATCCACTGCACTGCTAGATGGCAAACGTTGAGCTTATCTGTTTACTTTCTCTCCTCCCATTCTGTCAGGCAGTGGGCGAAGGAAAATCCGTCCTCAGCCTAGGTATTTCTGTATTTTCTATCAGCCCTATCTCAGTGTCCCTCACAGAGCCGATAGCTCTCCCATTGACTGCTATTATAAACCAGTCTTCATTTTAGCTGGGGATGGACATGCCACACCATAGAAATATAATGACTAGAATATGGGTACACTCAATATGGCCACCAGAATTTACAGTAAACGTACTCACGGAATATTGACTTGAATGGGAATGTCCGTTTTAATCATTCTATTCTATGGGGGACACAAGTTACTTAAACAATGACAGACCATAGAAAGTCAAACAGGATCAAAGCTTGAGAGTGGTCAGGTCATCATACCTGTGCAGTATCCATCTAGCTGTACTGTACTGACTGCCACAGCATCCATGTGAGCTGATATTTCATTGATGTCACAATGATGTTGAAATCACATCTCAAGAGGTCGAAGGATGACAGGACGGTACTGGAGGGTTGGGCTGAGGAAAGGAGTGTGGTTGGCAGGAAGGCAGGCAGGCAGACAGACACGCAGACAGGCAGACAGGCAGGCAGACAGACGCACGTACGCACACACGCACTGATCTCTCAGATTTGGTTTGGCAAAGCTTATCAGAGAGTGTTCATTATGCCTGTGAATTAGATGTTTAGAGCTTGATGTTGGATTGGGAAGAACAACAGAGGGCTTCCACTATTTGATGTGCCCTGTGTCACTATAAAGTAGAAATCAGATGAATGTGATCTAGTCCTTTTTTCTCTTTCTTTTTTATTATTATGAAAGCATAACGTCAAGCCCTAATAATTTACACCTCTGTGTATCACATTATCCTGCCTGAGGTTATTGTACACATATGACCTTGGTCGTATTAAAGCCATTATTTTACATTTTACATATGACCTATAAGCTTTGACATTCTGAAACAATACTATTCATTTAAGAATCTGTTAACTTAAGTCATTACTGTCGGCATAAAGAAACGGTTTGTACTGTTGTTATCATAACTGCCTTAACAATCAAACACTCCCACCACATGTACCATAGCACATATACACACACGCACGCACGCACACACACACACACACACACACACACCTATTACGGTGATTTGCTCTATGCATAATGG